TTTTCAAAATTTTCAATTAAGAAATTGTGCCGCTGGTCAGTCAGCATATGTTTAAAAACAGAAAAAGTTCGCACAACATCTATGGAAGTTGGTGGTGCATATCGGAGTTTGAAAATAACGGTTATTTGTAAGTCTGGCATGTTTATTTCAGTGTAAAAACTACCAACAAAAGTATCCCATAAATTTTTAACGAGTTGAAAACCTGTATTAATTTTGACCACTGATTCAAATGTGCTCAAGACTGCTGCACCAATTGTTTCTTTAACTTTAAGGCATTCAAGTTTCAAATTATTCATTAAAGTAGTCGATGCATCAACATGCATCAACATGCATGAAAGACATGTGTTCTCCAATTTTGTCAAACTAGTGGTAATAAAAGAATAATTTGCTTTTACAAATATTAAATTTTCAATTCTTTATTTTTGAAAATTTCTAATTTCTTTGGTTTTAAGAAGAGCAGGAGAAGTCAGTCGGGTCTATCATATTCTCAATAACAGATTTTTTGGCGTCATAGTTAGTGGCGTAAAATAAAGTTGCATTTAGCTATGTACCTCAACGGGTTCCAACATTGGGGCGGCAATGCAAGACTCGGACATTTTTCTTTATAAAATTGAATTCGAGTTCTAGCTTTCATAAACACTTTTTTACTTTTGTTATGAATCTTACTTCTAGCGGAATGGTAATTATCTGGGGCGTGAGTTAGAGCAAGAGCTAATATTTTGTGGCTAGCAAGTAAGGCTTTAAACGCTCAATGGACAACACAAAATTAACACACTCAAGTTCAACTGAACAACTGATGTATTGAAACAAAATTAACAATTTTACAACAGAGCAAATAAGATTTGACTTTGATAACAATTAGCTTAAGAAAAGGAAAGCAATTCGAGCAGTGTATCACTCGGATATTTTTGGTAACAACCTTATCCTATGGATACCTTAACTTCAGTATCAAGCCTAGATGGTGCAGAAGAAGGCTCCTGAGGGGAACGAGCTGGAGTGATCACTTCAGTCAGTAACCGCGCAGTTCTTCCAATGAGTGAGGATCGTGAAATATATAAATAGAAAGAAAGATCGACAGTAAAGGAGTACCAAAACATTAGCGGAAATTACTCAGACTCGACTCTGAATCAAAATTAAAGTAAAAAAAAAATTGAAAGAAAAGGCAGTCGAACCTGAGTATTTCAGCATAAAATAGTAAACTAATCAACACTACTCAGCACAGGATGAATCTTAAACTTAATAAAAGTAGATGCATTGAGAAATCCAAAAATAAAGAAAGTAAAAACTATATAATTATCGTCACCAAAAGTTGGGCGCCAGTATGCTTCCAAGTAGCATACAACTTGTACCAAAAGGAAATCTGAACAGCAAGCATCAAATATCATTAGCAGCACCAACGCCAAAATCCCAAGAGAACTAGTTTTGTGGAATTGTTCCCGGAAACGTTGATCAATGACATGCGGTCATGGCGGCCATCATGGATTCGTTTATCCAGCTCTTGTGTCTCAAACTCTACCTGGGCTGTTTGGACACTATTTTCCAGTGAAATGCCTTGCAATCTATGCAGTCCTCAAGAAATATTTTGATACTAAAAAGAAATAATCAAAAAACCGACCATGCGGTACAAACTCTCAAAATCGACCACTCGATCGAATCGTCTCAGCTCCATCTTCTTACAGGCATCAAAAATCGCCTGCTTCACTCTTTTCCCTCCCCCAATCTTCCATTAGCGCAGGAATCCAAAAATTCATTGGCTCTAACGGACACGTCATCCCTCGCTATCTCCTTAAGAATCTTTTCACCGCTATAAGAATGGCCAAATTTTCTCGGTTTCGGATTTTATAGCAAAATTCTAACTCCATCATAAAAAAAACGAAGCGTATTTGCTTGGCAACAACTTGAAAACGTATACCGATGTCTAACACAAATTCAGAGGTTAACGGCAAAATATTTGCAAGTAACACATTGCTTATTAAATAAGTAAATAAATTTGAATAAAATAGTTTGAAATTTTTTGCTGCTTTCACCATATAAGAAGCTGCCTCAGATAAAATCAAAACAAACCTCTCAGAAGGATCATATTCTGGCAAAAGAAAATTTGTTTATTGAATTATGGTTAAATTATTTGGCTTTTTCCAGTTGTTTTGATGCAAACAGGCAATGTTTGCTTGAATTGTCTTCCTCTAGGACACTAATTAATGCGTGCGCAATAGATCTACCACGTGAGTCTGTAGTTTCATCTATTCAATGTAAAAATGGTTTGCGCCAACCTTATTTCTAATTTGATCCACTGTTTTTTTATACAAAGAATCAACGCTTCCTTTTCGTAAAGTTCATTCGTCGGGAATATTGAAGATGCAATATATTGTGCGCAATATATTGCGTGATATCATGCGATGCAAAGTCGATGAGATTTAATATAGCCTGAAGTGCCTGTCCATCTATGGGAAATACCCAATCATAAAACCATAACATATTATTAGCTGAAAAGGTAGGTAGGTAAAAACTTTTAGGTTACCATTTAAGCTACGTGTGGGAATTTATTAGGGTAGGTAAACTATTTTTGGCAATAAATGCAGAAAAATGCAAAATGCGTTTTTTCCGCTCTTTAGTGGTTGCAAGACTATTCAATTTCTTTGTGGAAAATAGCTTCTACTATTTCAATATGGGGAAAAAATATTTGTATTACGGCCTTCAATTTTAGATATCACAGCTTAAAATGTCCAAAAGAATGGAACTATAATAATATTAGTGTGGTGAGATTATGTCCTGTGCTTCCTATGTGGAGACAAGTGGCATTTTGAACGAAAATTGGAGCAATGTGAACTACCTATTTGAGGTCAGTAATCAATATGCTCCACCTTGAGGTACTGATGCCCATTTTTCCAAGAATTTATGAAAGATTCAAGTTATAACCAAGTTAAGTTTATTAGTAGATGTATTATGCAGTTAAGGTTGCTTTAAACGTGAACCATTTTAAATATTTGTGTCAATTTAAGCATTGGCATATTATTTATAACTCCGGAAGTAAATACTAGGTAGAACATAATTTTTCTGGTGATTACCCCGAAGTCACGGCCTTCACATTTTACGAAATTATACCGGCTGCGCTAAAAAGGAATCCTGAGCAACTGTTTTTTAACTTTGAGTATGATTTGCAAGTTTTGAAACCTTTCTTTGTATCGAATTTAACGATGCAGCCTTTGAAGAAACATAGATGCGTTAGAATTCATTGTTATATTTATCGTTGCATTTCACTCACAAATGTCTTTGCATAATCAGAAGAGTACTGATAAGTTTAATTAATGGTCTTATAAAAGTACGTCATCAAGAAATGTGTACCAAATATGTGATTAGAAACTTTGACCGATAAAGTAAAGATTAAGTTTTGTTGTTATTACACGGAGATCAAACAAAACGTAAAAATTAAATCAATATTTTTTAAGCTTTGTAGATAATAACTGGCAATGCAGTATTGCAAAAGTTCGCTTTGAACATAGATAAAGCAATTCATTGAAGAATTCAAAACAAACAATTTTTTGATTACTGCGCAACTTATATTATGTGAGTATTAGCCAAGCTTCCTAAAGTAGGTATACGTCACAAGCTTGCCATTTTAAATTATTGAATCTATTAACGTTGAATCAGCCGACCTTTCTAGAGTTTGGTGCTCGTAGTTTGAGGTTTGTTCTTATTGTTAAACGCCCAGAGAGTTTGCATTGACTAAGAGCCATTTCACACGGGCCACTCTGCAGCGCTTCTCAGTGGACCTGCTGGGAAGCGCGTTTTGAAGTTACATTGATTTACATGGAGGCATTCACACGGGCGCGACAAGGCCGGACCACCGATTTAGCAGCGCTTCAATGGCGTTCAGTGGTTAACTACCGACGAGAAGCGCGTCAAAAAGAAACGCCATTAATAGCGATACATTGGTTTAAATCAGGTATAGGCAACTTTTGACATGTTGAGGGCCAAACTTTAGGCCGCGTTTAAAAGTACTTAGTGCATTTTAAAGTAGTGATAATAGTTTTTGCGATAGATATTAGACATGAAATAATAGGACAAAGTTATTATAGTACAATTTATTAAAATAACAAAATGAAATTTAAAAAAATGGTACATTATAATTAAATCGTTAAATTTGCAATTGTTACAAACTACGAAAGTTAAATATACCGAAATCAATAAGACTTTGATGACAAGCTTGAATTTGCGAAACAAATCCATCGATATTTGGATTAATTCCACTGATACAAAGACGTGAAGAATTTTCCATATTACCGTCAGTCAGTCTTGTACGATGTGTTGATTTATTAGCTTCCATCTATGAAAAGAACTGTGCGCATTTATAAGTACTGCCTACTGTACTGTAATGATAAGTACTGCCAAACGCACAAATCAATCTTCTTGCCAATTTTCTAAGCCGCGAAAAATTATCTTCTTCTAGGTATTTTTTGTAGTACGTCTTCAAATTTGGATTTTAGGAGTGAGTTTTCTTGAATTTCGATTAACTCTAAGTGTATTGGAACATTTCGTACATTATATTTTGTAGGAGTAGCAAATAAACTGAAACAGTCTTCTATGTTTTTGAAGTCGCTAAATCTGTTCGAAAATTGTTCCGACAGTAATTTGAGCTCTTCGGCATATTGAGCATAAGCAATATTTTCATACGCAGAGAGCGTGTTGAAATGGTAACTGTTACCAAACAGCATCTGTGACTCCCACAAGCGTAGTTTGATCTGAAACGCTTTCCAATGGCTGCACCAATCATTTATTAACTGTCCTAGTTTTTGAAGTTTCAAATTTAAATCATCCAAATAGCGTGTACGATCGACCGTCACATATCCATTTTGGGTCACTTAGTTCAGATAGTGGTTTATCTTTTATTTTCATAAAGTCTGCTATCTCATTTCTAAGCTCGTAAAACCGTTTCAGCATTTTTCTTTTGCTCAGCCATATGACTTCACAATAATATGTTACGTCGTTATATTCAACTGATGTTTCATCCAAGAACGCCTTAAACTGATGATAGTTAAGCCCTTGGGATCGAATAAAGTTGATGGTTTTCACTACCACATTCATAGCATTCTGGAGTCGAATGGACTTAGAACACAAGATCTGTAGGTGGATAATGCAATGAAGGACTATCGACTCAAATTATTTTTTTTGCACATTTAATTCTGCTGCTTTTTCATTCAAAATTCCGATGAAACCTTTACGTAAGCCGACCATAGAAGGTGCACCATCAGTGCATACTCTAATTAATTTTGACCATGGCAAAACTTGTGAATATTTTTTGAGCTTCAATACAAATATCCTCTCCTGTAGTGGTTCCTTTTAGCGGCTGTAAAGCAAGCAATTACTCAGTAACTATGAACTCCTTATCAACACATCGAATAAATATAGCCCGTCAAGCTGTGTCAGACAAATCGGTGCGCTCGTCTAATGCTATGGAAAATGATTCAAAACCAGCTATACGGTCAGTCAATGTTGTTTTTATATCATTAGCCATCATTTTTATACGTCGATCAAGAGTTCGTCTTGACAAACTAAGTTTTTCAAATTCATTTTTCTTTTCAGGACACAAAATACCGCAAACTTTTAACATGCACTGCTTGATAGATTCTCCTCGGCAAATGATTTAAATGCCGCCTTTGAAAATGTTGAACTAACTATAAAACTAGCTTTCACAACATTATCAAGTTGTGTTCTTTGTTTATGAAACATTTGTTGCTGTTTTTCCAATTTTGCAGTAAGCTTCTGGAATTTTTCTGTCTGTTCTTAATTGTCCTGTCAGTGAGTGCAGCGTAGCATGCTTAGTTGAGCAATACCTCTTTATACTGAATTCTTTCATAACTGAAATGGATTCATTGTACAGCAAACAAATAGGTTTACCATTGTGCAAGATAAATAAGAATTCTTCAGTGCATTTTTCTTGGAACTGGCGACCCTCTGTATCTACTTTGCGTTTCTTACCACCAGACATAATTTTTGTTTACTTTTCGTTCAATAAACTTATTATAAGAAACTATAGTTAGTAACCACTGGTGGAGGTATCGGCACAAATAACCAAAGGGCAGGTCAGAAGTCGGATGCGGTCCTGGGTCATGGACGAGTGGCAGAGGCTCTGGTCCAGTAGTAATAATGGGAGGGAATTATATGAGGTGTGTGACAGAGTGGGAAAGGGTACGATGGGTTTAATAAAAAGGCACTACAGCTTGCAACTGGGCACGGAAACTTCCGTGCTTACTTACACAAGTTTACAATCAGGAGCTGTGGTGAATGTAAATGTGGTCTGGGTGCTGAGACGGCTCGGCACACCAGGACGGTGTGTATGAAACCAGTCAGGGAGGCTGCGCGTGAGAGTTTAGCTCCGGAGAAGGAGGGCCAGTTAAGGGGGGCCATGATGGATTTTTGGCCCTGGTTATTTTGCGGTAGGGTAATTTTAAATGTGTTTTGGATTAGTGGGTTTGAATGGGACAGCGTGCTGCGTTCGCGAAGTACTTTGTTGGTTAGGAGTGATTCTAGCGTGACCACGTGTTTTTGTTTAGTGTACCATTGTGCTTCTCAGCG